AGCTGCCGGCCCGGTATGTCGTCCACACCGTTGGCCCTAAATATAACTCCAAATACCATACGGCGGCCGAAAACGCGTTATACAACTGTTACACAAAAGTGCTGCAAATCAGTCGCGACAACGGCTTCTCCTCACTGGCCTTGAGTGCCATCAATACGCCGAACAGAGGGTATCCGCGACAGTCGGCCGCACACATAGCCCTCCGAGTGGTCCGCCGATTTCTCGAGCATTACAGCGATTCCATTGATTTGATTATCTTCGCCGTCGACGACACGGACATCGGTTTCTACGAGCTTTTAATGCCTCTGTATTTCCCGCGCTCTGAGCCCGAAGAGGAGTACGCGCGCTATCAACTGCCACAAGACGTGGGCGGGCAGTACGGAGAGCCTGTCATACCGGAGCGCGAGATTAGGATCGCCGCCAAACCCAACACATTGTCGACCATTGAGGAGAGTGTGGACCTATCGAGCGGTTTGGACACATCGGTGGCGGTGGGAAAGACAACGTTTGCCAAAATGCACGGCGATTTAGATAAGAAAGGATCGCCGCCAAACCCAACACATTGTCGACCATTGAGGAGAGTGTGGACCTATCGAGCGGTTTGGACACATCGGTGGCGGTGGGAAAGACAACGTTTGCCAAAATGCACGGCGATTTAGATAAGAGACACAAACGCCAGGCCTCCCTTCCCCTCAAAGATAGCGATCCCATGACCCAAGAGATACAGCGACAGCACAAATACGAGCGACTCCTACGCAAAGCCAAAACTGAGGATTTCAGTGATTATATCACCGCTCGGTGTCTGTATATATCGGGCGAAGACTCGGTGGGCAGACCTGTTGTGGTGATGGTTGGCAAGCGGTTCAACGCGCTAACGATGAGTAACGAGCGGACAGTCATGTATTTGATTCGTTTACTCGATTCGGTTGTGGTTAAGGAATATATTGTGATATACTTTCATAGTCTGACCCAAAAGGAAAACCTTCCGTCAATTAGTTTTGTGCAAAATGTCTACAATTTGTTGGGCTATGAGTACAAGAAGAACTTGAAATGCTTTTACGTAATCCATCCGTCGATATGGTGTCGAGTGATCGTCTGGTGGTTCACCACATTCAACGCCACCCTTCTTAAGCGCAAACTGTTTTGCGTGGGAGGCGTCGAGTATCTTAAGGTTTGCACATTTCTTATTGACAATCACTTCCTGTGATTACTCCAGAGATTTGTTTAAATAAATTTGATGTCATAAACCTAAATACAGAAAGATTACTAATAACACAAGAGAATAATACTGTACTTAACGTAGGTCTTACACTATGGAAACGTTGTCGATGTCCACGGATGCAAACATTACCTAATACTAAAGTTCCGTTGCGATACATTTGTTTTTAGAAATTTAATTAAATGATTGCTAATTGTTATCAATGTGTGTCTCCATTAGGTTAATGGCGTGCGTTATAGTGAAGTGCAATCACCGCAACAGCAAACTAATGACAACTTATAGACACAAACCAGTCATCAAATTATAAGTAAAAACATTTACTTTTCTTTTTTATTTTATGAATAATTTTTTATACAAAATAATTCCTATTAAAATGGGATAATTTGTCGCAAAAGATGTGTTTTTATTTTCATTAGTTAAGTAAAAAGTTAATTATTTGAAACGATTTTCTATTCAATGCATTATAATTTCGTTTAATTCATTATTGAATTGTTTTTATGTTATCATTAGAAATACTGTTTTTTGTTGTTTTCATTCACTTTTCTTTTAATTTGGATTTATGTCTTTCTAATGATTATTGTGTTCTCTTATTATGACATGAATTGCATCCAGAATGTGATACCTTTGCAACAGCTACAGGTGCCTACGTTTGTAATGGATTATGATTTCAAGGCAATTGTTTTTACATTTGTTTTTAGAAATTTAATCAAATGATTGCTAATTGTTATCAATGTGTGTCTCCATTAGGTTAATGGCGTGCGTTATAGTGAAGTGCAATCACCGCAACAGCAAACTAATGACAACTTATAGACAAACCAGTCATCAAATTATAAGTAAAAACATTTACTTTTCTTTTTTATTTTATGAATAATTTTTTTATACAAAATAATTCCTATTAAAATGGGATAATTTGTCGCCAAAGATGTGTTTTTATTTTCATTAGTTAATTAAAAAGTTAATTATTTGAAACGATTTTCTATTCAATGCATTATAATTTCGTTTAATTCATTATTGAATTGTTTTTATGTTATCATTAGAAATACTGTTTTTTGTTGTTTTCATTCACTTTTCTTTTAGCTATAGTAAGGGCTATAAAATCTATTTCTTAGAGCCCGACACCCATTGGAATCGAAACCCGAAAGAGTTGTCTAAACGTAATATCCATGGAATACCTAAAGAGAAGCTCGAATTAATGGCTCAAAAATTCGAGAGATTGAGTGTCGAGGATGTGGTGAAGGGCTTACCGTCGAGTCAGTCGCTCCAGAAGTCAAACTCCGATGAAAAGGTCAACAAAGCGGCGAATGTGTCGACAAACGCCGTCAAACAAGTGATTTTGCGGTCCAGTAGTAGTCCTTCCAATGCTTTCGCCAAAGAAAGTACGAAAGAGTGCAGTGATTACGAAGAGTCGCCCCAATCGTGCGCACAATTGTCAGACATGACATCCACGTCGTCGCCCAACTCCACAGAACCCACATCTCCTGTCACTGAGAATCAGATTGACATCGATTTGCTGTTAGCTCTCAATCAACGCAATACAGACTCCGAGGACTGTTCCTCTATTAATGCGTCCGAAGGCGGCAGTAGTTGTGGTCAGGAGTCTGGTTGGGAAAGGGATGACGAGTTCACATACACTCATAATCAACAAATAACTGCCGGCCCTTCAGGTACTCAGCGAACTGATAGTCCAGTCAATGAATCCGATTTTAAATTGGAGTCCGAATCGACGGCTCAAAGCGAACGCAAACACAAAAATGCTGTCAAAAGTCATAGCGATTGCATTGAAGAGGAAAGCGCTGAAGACATGTCTTTCGGTGAACCGATGGACGCCTCGAATCAAATCAATTGCGGTGCGAGTAGTAGTCATCAAGAGCTGAACGGCTCGGCGAATAACAAACGTATGTTCAGTTTGGTTGGAGTTCCTAAGTCGCAGTCGACATCCAACTGGGAGTTCCCTCCCTTTCCCATCGATCACAACAAGATGACTGACAACGGGTCGGAAATCAGTGTCACATACTATTCGCGATCATCGCAGACAGAGTTGAAGGATTGGGCGCTTCTGGAGCTGAAGCAATGCAACAAAGACTCGAACGAAGGCTTAGAGACCGAGGATATGGATGGAGAAGAGCATCCGATCGAAGCGAAAGTTGATCCCAAGAAAAGTGATCTAAAAGTACGTCTCCATAAGGGGACGATTACTACTGATATGCCCGACGACTTGAGTCGCGACCAGAAGTTGAATACATTGCGCGAGAAGTTCCCGAAAGCGGAGAACAATCACTTGAATGAAATTCTCGACGCCTGTCACGAGGACTACAAATGGGCCGAAAAGCTGTTGAGCGAACTGAACGACGATCACTTCGATGTCGGCGCTCTGGAACAGCTGTCGCCCACCGGCACCGATCGCGTCAGTAGTCCCGAAGTGGAGACGGAGTCGTCGTCGTCGACGTCCAACTCTGGCGAAGAGGAACAGTTGGAACTGCTAGTCAACCACCAGAAGGACTCGGATGATCCCGAGTTTGTGCTAACACTGGACCCGCTGCTCGCCGCTCAACTGCAGTCACATTTCGGTGATATCACCGACACGTTGACAGAGGACGACCTGACCATCACTTTAAGTCACGGCGTGGCCCGCCTTCTGCACCACACGTGGAAGAAGTCGTTACATCAGAAGCCGTTGCCTCAAAACGGCGCTAAATCTCAAAGTATTAATAATCACAGCAATAATAATCATAACAACAAAGTGTCAAATCATATGAAAAAGGCGTTTGTTTTCGGCGCGAGTGCTCCGAAGAGTGAGTTACAAGAGATTATGGACTTAGAGATGGCTAAAGAAATGAGTCGTAAAGAGTATGACAACAGTCTGACCGCCGAAGCGCTCAACTCGACGTGTGATGTGACGCGAAAACAGGCGAAAGATTTGTTCGCAACGAAACTCAAAAGAGATCAGTTGTACCAAAGATATCCCGGAGTCGACCAAAACTTTTTGGACACCATTTTTGATTCAAATAAGTATGTCTTCATAATGTTTAAACTTTTTGTTTTACTCTATTATAGTGTGAATTAAGAGCACTTTTCTCGTCAAAGTTTGTATTGATTTTGCTTCAGATTATAAGTAGATTTATCATTGAATTTGAAAGTTTTTATCTATTTGTATATTTTTTGAGATGTAATAAGTTGCTAATGATTTATGAAACTAATTATTTTGTTAATTTTGTTTATGTTTCCTATAGAATATAACATTAGTTGAGAGTAATTGAAATAAATATGAATTTAAGATAAAGTCTTCAATTATTTAGTGTCTCTAAGAGTTCATTCATGTTTAAGACTATTATTGAATGGATTTATTGCTTTTGAAAGTCGTTACCAGAAAATTAATGGTTTTAAATGAGCTATTTTTACATTCAAAGTACAAATGAATAGCATTAAAGTCGACTAAAATAGTAAGTCTGCGAATAAATCAAACAAAATAAAACTGATAACAAATTAGACAGAATTGTCGTAAAAAATGATTAATTAACTTAAATGTTAATGAATTTATCTGTTATTTAGGTATTGTTTGGGCAAAACAATCGACGTTTTGGACAATTCTTTAGGACTGAGCGACGACTTTAGCAAAGAGACGGAAGTACTGATAGCTCAGGAGAGGAATCGGTCACAGAATGGGTCGCCGATGAATGACAGTCGCGCGGCGTCTCCGGTGAAGTCGGTCCGCAAAGTTGCCGTCGATATCAATGCAAACATATCGCAAATCAATGACTTAGTGGTGAAGAAGCGTGAGTTTCACGATAAGGCGCGGCTCGCGTTCGGCCGTAAGATGTTTGCCGTCGCCTCCTATTACGGCGGGGAAGCCATGAAATTGCAGACACAGATCGACAGACTCGGCGCACAAACAGTGGACGCAATACTCAGTAATAGGTACGGGATTTGTTGGGACAACTAGTCTGACAGTAACTGTATGTCTAATTGACTTATGAATTGGTGTTTGTTTTGCCGTAATATTTAGCACAAACTCTAATGAACTCGATTTACACGGACTACACATACCGGAAGTGAACTCGATTTTGTCGGAATATATGAGTCGAAAGAGTGAAGAACTGAGACGAAGTGTGGGCCGAAGGAAGCTATCGGTGGATATAATCACGGGCTATGGGGCCACCAAAGGGGTGTTGGGACGCATCAAACCCACAGTCATTCAGTATTTGAAACAAAAGAACTTAAAGTAAGTACTGATCTGTTTGTTGATGTCGTAAATGATCTCATATTACTGATAATTGACTCGTTATTGTGTTGCAAACAGCTATGAAATGGTGAATCAGGGCGTCATTCGCGTCACTCTAACTCAATAATCATCGCGTCATCCGATTCATACTTAAGAGCTTTTTATACACTATTTTATTGATATCATTGAATTTATAAGTATTTTTTAGCATGAAATGTATGACATTTATATATAAATTCTACATTTTTATTATGTATTTATATCTAGGAATATATCAGTTGCATAAATCGTGATATATATGAAATGCATTTTAGAGTAGAAATAATACAATTAAAACTTTAATTATTGAAATTTTTTATATTTACGGTTAAACTAAACATTGTATTAATTGTCGATTTATCTATTTGTTTGCAAACATCTGAAAATGAAAAATAAAATAAATGTTTTAATAAAACTAATGATCTGAAAGGTTAACTACTGACCGACAGGTGCTCTCATCAAATTGAGCACCGGATGAGCATTGCCGGGAAGTGGTGGGCGGACACACGCACTCACACTTCTCGTTAGACCACATTCTGTTGTGTTGGGAACAGGTCTTGGCTTTCGTGGTGTCACGACACTCGCAGGCGCACCGGTCCTCCGAAAACACTTGCTTATCGTTACAGTTCTGAGCGCTCATAACGCACTGACAGCTGCACAGGAGGTGTCTCTCGATTTTGACGCGCATACACTTCTCGGGCGGTAAGGAGGGCGCCGACCGACTGCCAGCGTTTAATAGGCGGCTATAGAGCTGTTGGACAAACATATTGTATGGCTTTATACGAGTAGTTAGAGCGCAATGAGTGGTTCATACAAAGTCTGAAGTGACGGGCACTTCAACGATCTCCTTATCGATGGGCAGACACTTGTGGTTCGGGTGCTGACACACGCCGTCACATCTGTCCACTTCGTAGCTGTTGGGCCTGTGATAGACTCCCGGCATATAATACTTTGAGGGCATTTTCACGGCAATCAACTGCTTTCTGGGCGGTCGGCATAACGACTGTCTGTGCAATGAATTGGACTCTCTCTTGAAATGTCTATCACACGGCACCTCAACTGAAGGCACAGTTAGTAAAGTATAGGAATTTAATAATGTGTTAGCTTTTCATGACATTCAATGCATTAGTTCACACAAAAAAACAGTCAAAACATTGGCTTTCCATTGAAATTACAAATTTCATTAAGAATTTATTGTTAATGAAATCAATGAACTGAGAAAATAGTCGTTAAATTACTAAACGTTTTACACGTTTTCAACGGAACTACACTTCCCAACAGTGATTGAAAAAACTTAAAAAATTAATATTTAATTGCTTTCATAGAATATTCTCAATAATTCTTAACTACACAATCAATGAAAATCATCACAAATACCTGCACTCATGTCTTCGGGGATGACATCATCCGAGTTTACAGTCAAATATTCTTCGACCATAGAATCGGCTAATCTTTTGTGTCGATCGTTCTCAGCAAAGGTAACGCCAATGAAAACACACAAAACAAGAAAAACTCGACAAACACTATGTGTTTTAAAATATCTCATTCTCTTTATTAATATTAAATAAATGTAATAATTATTATAATCAATAATAAAATCCAAAAAATGAATTCTCAATTTAAATAGTTTATACAATTATCTCAATGGTTTTCAAGAACCCAATAGTCAATGAAAAGCTGTGGTTTTCAACAGAAATACTAAACAAATAAAATATAATATAAAAACAAAAATTTATTCGTTTAAACGGAATCGCATTTCCTTTAAGTCACGGAAATTAAGTGAAATAACATAGGGTTTGACATCAGAATCAAATCGCTTTTCCATCCAAATGGACGTCAAAACGAGACAAACAGCTAATGTCAAGACCTTATGACACAATAAACAGAAATACATATAAAAAACAATTTTCTCGTTTCATTCGGTATTGGATTCAAACGATTTGTTGCCGTTATTTACAAATTCGCTGCAAATGTGTTGCTCTCATCTATAATACAAATTACCGGTACTTATGAGACAAGGATTGCTACGTATCTATGAGAACATCTTCGCGTAGGCCTTCCTCTCACGCGCTTTGTAGGCCTCGATCTCGCCCTTCACGGCCGCCAACTCCGATGTAATCGACTTGTCGTTCGGCGCCAACGACTGCGCCCTCTGGAGATCGGCCAGACTTTTGTCGTATTCGCGTCGCCCGTGAAAGGCCTGACCTCTTCGGTACAACGCTTTTGCATTATCGGGTCCGATGTCCAGCGCTTCGTTCAGCACTTCCAACGCCGAGTCATACTTCTTCAGCCTCAGCAGACACGCGGCGCTGCCAGAGATCACACAAAGCCATTAACACATCAATCGAAAGCTAAGTAATCAGTCGAATACCTGTTGAGAAGACACGGAAGTTCTTGAGAGACGACCCGTTTGGTGACGTCGTCGTTGAGGTCATTGTCGTGTAATTTATTCAAATAACGCAACGCTTTCTTGTATTTGCGGTTCGCGTTCACGAAGTCTTCGTTCTTGAAGTATGAATTGCCGGAGCCTTTGATGTGTTCACCGATTTGCAAGATGTGGTCGATCTGTGGGATCAATACAATGGCAACCATTAACTCAAACAACAAACGCATTCATCGGGAATCAATGCAAACCGAAGTGAAATCGAGATCGGTATCCTCTGGAAACGATGGGAACACATCTTCGGAGCCGTCATTCTCAGTGAGATTCCATTCCTCCCCGTCTTTGAATTGTCCGCAATCATAGACAACACACTTCTGTTCAGACCATCAAAAACAATACATTTAACACATCTCTTATGTGGTCGACAACTGTCGCTATAATTACTTCGATGGGCTCGTCGTTAGCACCGGTGGGTAAGCCCTCCAAGTGTTTGATGACACCCATGCCTCTGACCACTTGTCCGAACACCACATGCTTTCCGTCCAAATGAGGTGTGGCTACGGTTGTGATGAAGAACTGCGAGCCGTTAGTATTGGGCCCCGCGTTGGCCATACTTAAGAGACCCGGTTTGTCGTGCTGTGGATGGAAACACGTGTGTCAACAGTAGCTCCAGATATTGTCTTAAGCGGTGGTGATGTGCATACCTTGAGGTCAAAGTTCTCGTCATCAAACTTCTCGCCATAAATACTCTGACCTCCCGTTCCGTTAAAATTAGTGAAGTCTCCGCATTGTATCATAAAATCGCGGATTACTTCGTGCGAGACATAAGACAAACAGACATTAGTTTCGTGACAATAGATGGTAACAGGAATGGATGAATACTTCTGTGAAAAATGGATCCTTTGTAGTGAAGAGGCTTTCCCTGAGAGCCGACACCCAATTCACCCGTACATAAGGCCCGGAAGTTTTCGCACGTCTTCGGCACCACATTATTGAAGAGTTGAATAACTATTCGGCCGACTATTGGATCCAATCGGGCGACGAGTTAGCGAACCGTAAGAATAAGACAATAAATGGTTAATAATTGCCACAAATGTGACTCAAAAGTAGACAAAGCGTTGGGAAATGAGTGCCACAGAAGTGATGACAAGCGAGCAATGGGTTTGTGGCCAATAGTGGACATTGAGTGACAGCCGAAGACAGTGAATGGTTAAGTGATAATCAATACCTGACTCGTCGGCGACTTTGATGTCGAGGTAGACGTGAATGCATTTGTCGGCCATTTCTCACGTAATATACGATAATATTTACAGTATTTTCAGTCAAAACCATTCATTCATAAAATGCCATTCAATGCACTCTCCCCTCAACTCACCATCAATAACGTCACGTTATATGCGAACCATTTGACGCCACATTTGGGACCTATTCCTCGATGTCTGCGTTACCATCAGTGGTAAGACATGAGAAGAAATTAGACAACAAGTTGTCAATTAGTTTGAAGTGGTTTTACAGAAAGTGATGACCATTTTGTGGTCGATCTATGAGTTGAGCGCTGAGCCCCCTGTGTGCCCCCTGTTGTGCTAAACCCCTCCCACTGTAACCCCTTTACGCCTCTCAAAAGTCGGCAAAAATCAGAAAGTTTTCAAAATCTTAAGACATCTCAAGAAGTATTGTCTTCCCATTGAATCCAACGCTTGGTTTCATTTGCATCTCACTCTCGGAATCAATTAAAACCGAAGAAACGATTAGTTTTCGCATAAGTTTTGCCAAACATTTGAAGACATTTTTGTCAGACTTTTGTGTAAATCTGAGTCAATATTATTGAGTAAACAGTGAATCAATTGATAAGAGTTTGTGGCGTTTCTGTGGTTATTATCTGTTTGTTATTGTTTTGCCATTCATTGCCATTGATTGTCGCAAAAGTGACATCACATCCATAGACAATACCTCTTGTTATCGTTGCCATTAAGTGCCAAAACTCGCGGATCAAACAGTCGGTGGTATGTCTGCGGCCGAGAAGTCAGCGCTGGATTCGGTGTCTTCGACGCCACATGTCGTGGAGAGCCATCAGCTGAAGGTGTGGTCAGATATCGCCGCCAGAGATGTGCAAGACTTGCGCCAATTGGTCGCTGGAGAGGTGATCCACGACAAGAGTCCGTTCGCGTATTCGCCGCAAATCAACGCGAAGATCGCCCTCTGGTTCGGCGATATCACCCAATTGGCGGTCACTGCCATTGTCAACACCACTAACGAGCACTTCAATGAGGTATCCGTCCATCAGATCCATGTCTTGTCGACTCTCTCTAATCGATGAATTCATTTCCCGAAAACCAGAGAACACTTCTCAACGAAAGGATTCTCTCGAAAGGTATACCACTCGCGAAGACTTTGTTTCTTAGTTTTACTCATTGATCCGATTCTCTGACACTCGAAGGCGGGCCACAAATG